TTCCATTTTAATTAATAAGTAACTGTTTCAGTAAGTCCCCACTCTCTAGACCTTGACCTACAAGCTTAACCAGCCTGACTTGTCCCCCGAGTGCAGCTAGTTTGTGCTGGTGGCTATTTACTCACGTTTCTCTCGAGAAGTGAGAGGGCAGTTGAAGGGTGACTCAGTGTTGTGCACTGGCCTTTTACCTCCAGGGGCCGAGGTTCAAAGCCTGCCCTGGGTCGCCAGTGGCAATGGGACTTCTGGGATCTCACTGGCTAGCCTCATCTGTCTGCATCAGCGAGGCCCAGCTCCTCAGAGCCGGTGGTGTTGGCTCACCTCCCTCCCAGAGACCAGTGGTGGGCAGAGCTTGTGGGGGGGGAAGGCCACGGCGTAGGACTGGAATAGGAGGCTGTAGGACTCAGGGCAGGTGGAACTAGACCTGCTGATGCCAGGCCTGGCTCTCCAGAGCAGCCCTAGACAGTTCCCTCCCTGATCTCCTCAGCGGCTGAGCTCTGGAAGGAAGGCTCCAGAACGTGGGACCCACTTGCTGCTTCTCTGTCCCCAGCCCCATGACTGGTGATGGCAAAATGGGAAGGCTTATGGGCCTAAGTCTGCAAGACGTGCCTTGGGGGAGCCACGTGCTCTCTGTGCACAGTGGTCACGTGGATCCTAGGGGCTGGGGCTACCAAAGAGACTTAGAATCATAGAATATCAGGGTTGGAAGGGACCCCTGAAGGTCATCTAGTCCAACCCCCTGCTCGAAGCAGGACCAATTCCCAGTTAAATCATCCCAGCCAGGGCTTTGTCAAGCCTGACCTTAAAAACCTCTAAGGAAGGAGATTCTACCACCTCCCTAGGTAACGCATTCCAGTGTTTCACCACCCTCTTAGTGAAAAAGTTTTTCCTAATATCCAATCTAAACCTCCCCCACTGCAACTTGAGACCATTACTCCTCGTTCTGTCATCTGCTACCATTGAGAACAGTCTAGAGCCATCCTCTTTGGAACTCCCTTTCAGGTAGTTGAAAGCAGCTATCAAATCCCCCCTCATTCTTCTCTTCTGCAGGCTAAACAATCCCAGCTCCCTCAGCCTCTCCTCATAACTCATGTGTTCTAGACCCCTAATCATTTTTGTTGCCCTTCGCTGGACTCTCTCCAATTTATCCACATCCTTCTTGTAGTGTGGGGCCCAAAACTGGACACAGTACTCCAGATGAGGCCTCACCAATGTCGAATAGAGGGGAACGATCACGTCCCTCGATCTGCTCGCTATGCCCCTATTATACATCCCAAAATGCCATTGGCCTTCTTGGCAACAAGGGCACACTGCTGACTCATATCCAGCTTCTCGTCCACTGTCACCCCTAGGTCCTTTTCCGCAGAACTGCTGCCTAGCCATTCGGTCCCTAGTCTGTAGCGGTGCATTGGATTCTTCCATCCTAAGTGCAGGACCCTGCACTTATCCTTATTGAACCTCATCAGATTTCTTTTGGCCCAATCCTCCAATTTGTCTAGGTCCTTCTGTATCCTATCCCTCCCCTCCAGCGTATCTACCACTCCTCCCAGTTTAGTATCATCCGCAAATTTGCTGAGAGTGCAATCCACACCATCCTCCAGATCATTTATGAAGATATTGAACAAAACCGGCCCCAGGACTGACCCTTGGGGCACTCCACTTGATACCCGCTGTCAACTAGACATGGAGCCATTGATCACTACCCGTTGAGCCCGACAATCTAGCCAGCTTTCTACCCACCTTATAGTGCATTCATCCAGCCCATACTTCCTTAACTTGCTGACAAGAAACGGTGGGAGACCATGTCAAAAGCTTTGCTAAAGTCAAGATACAATACATACACTGCTTTCCCTTCATCCACAGAACCAGTAATCTCATCATAAAAGGCAATTAGATTAGTCAGGCATGACCTTCCCTTGGTGAATCCATGCTGGCTGTTCCTGATCACTTTCCTCTCATGCAAGTGCTTCAGGATTGATTCTTTGAGGACCTGCTCCATGATTTTTCCAGGGACTGAGGTGAGGCTGACTGGCCTGTAGTTCCCAGGATCCTCCTCCTTCCCTTTTTTACAGATGGGCACTACATTAGCCTTTTTCCAGTCATCCGGGACTTCCCCCGTTCGCCACGAGTTTTCAAAGATAATGGCCAATGGCTCTGCAATCACAGCCGCCAATTTCTTCAGCACTCTCGGATGCAACTCGTCCGGCCCCATGGACTTGTTCACGTCCAGCTTTTCTAAATAGTCCCTAACCACCTCTATCTCCACAGAGGGCTGGCCATCTCTTCCCCATTTTGTGATGCCCAGCGCAGCAGTCTGGGAGCTGACCTTGTTAGTGAAGACAGAGGCAAAAAAAGCATTGAGTACATTAGCTTTTCCACATCCTCTGTCACTAGGTTGCCTCCCTCATTCAGTAAGGGGCCCACACTTTCCTTGGCTTTCTTCTTGTTGCCAACATACCTGAAGAAACCCTTCTTGTTACACTTGACATCTCTTGCTAGCTGCAGCTCCAGGTGCGATTTGGCCCTCCTGATATCATTCCTACATGCCCGAGCAATATTTTTATACTCTTCCCTGGTCATATGTCCAACCTTCCACTTCTTGTAAGCTTCTTTTTTATGTTTAAGATCCGCTAGGATTTCACCATTAAGCCAAGCTGGTCGCCTGCCATATTTACTATTCTTTCGACTCATTGGGATGGTTTGTCCCTGTAACCTCAACAGGGATTCCTTGAAATACAGCCTTCTTTACTTTCAAACAAAGCAGAGTTACTCTGGAGTCAGTCAGTGCCCATGCTCTTCCACATGACCCCTCCCTGCAATGCTGTACGAAGGTGCCAGTGTCCCCATCGTTACGGTGGCCTGACACGTCTCTTTACAAGACCCTGTTTTCGGTGCTTACACCTTTGCCAAACGTTATGCATTTGGGCTAATGTTTCCTAGGCCCAGTGTCTGCCTCAGGCTGAATGGTTTTGGGAAGCTTCAGCAAAAACCATTCAGCCACTTCTCAGGTAAAATACGTTCTTGTGCCCATGTCAATCAAAAACTCTGACCCCTGTTTCCCTCCGGAGCAGGGACATGAAATGGGGCAGGGGTGGCCTTGGTGTCAGCGATGTGCCTTTTGCTACCCATGGGGAAATTCACACACATTTGGCCAAACTGGGCATATGCAACCTCCCCACACACACACGTGCGCACACAGAGCACCTGAGTCCAGAGCTATCAGGGCTGAGCAGGACTTTTCCTGCAATTACTGCTCCCGCTACTGGGGACTGCTGTGGGGCCGGGCACCAGTACTGAGCGCAAGATCTCTTGCCCTGTGCTCCTACTTCCCCCCCTTGGCCCCTCCTGGGTCTAGGCAATGAGGAGGAAGCACATTGAACTGCAGAAGAGAGGTTGGAAGGGGAATGATGGGGGGCGGGATTCAGCCTCCTTGTGCATAGGTAGTGTTCACGTAATCACATTTCGTGCAGAAGCTGGGTGCTGGGCAATGCATGAGGCAGGGCTGGGGGAAGAGGAAAGAGTCTCATGGTTACGGCAGCTGAATGCTGCCCTGGACGACTCAATTCTATCCCTGCCTCTGCCACAGAGTTTGTGTGCAGTGATGGGTATGTCACTTACACCAGTCTTTTCACAGTTCCTCGTTTTCTGGGTATCCAGTGCGTGCCCCTGGCCCGTAGGGAGATGGAGGGTGACTACTGCTTGGGGGAGCTAACACTTAACAGCTACCTAGAGGGCAGGGGTAGGACAGTGAGCTTACTGGGCCCTGCACTCACTGGGGGGTGTCGGAGAGCAAGCTAGCCTAGCTGTGCGCTCGCTGGGGGGTGTCGAAGAGCAAGCTAGCCTAGCTGTGCGCTCGCTGGGGGGTGTCAGAGAGCAAGCTAGCCTAGCTGTGCGCTCGCTGGGGGGTGTCGGAGAGCAAGCTAGCCTAGCTGTGCGCTCGCTGGGGCAGTGGTGGCTCCTGTCCCATGGCCGCAGGGGGGCTGCAGGGCAAGCCCACCCAGCTGTGTCCTGTCCCATGGAGGGGGCAGCTACCTTCAGCTACCAGCTACCTCCCACCCCCAGCCTTTTGGCTCCTTCTCACCACAGGTTGGATCAAGGCTTCCCCTTGAGCTGGACGTGCATGTGGGGGGCAGTGGGAAGCTGGGCTGATAGATGTGGGGGGGGCTGAGCCCCCTCTAGCAATAGCCACCTGTACCTGGGGCTGGCTCTGCAACCGTGGCAGCTGAGGTCGATCGGCGCTCTGCTTCGATCACAGAACAGGCTATAAAACACTGACTGGCCTGGAAAAGCAGGAACTGTGTCACAAGTTGGGCGACTAAACCGAGTAGCCACCCTTGGTGGTTTTGGCCTTCCCTGCTCTGTGCTGTGTTCACCGGCTGACCGAGGAGGATGAGGCTACCATCTCCTTGCACTGGGTGGCGTGAAGCTGAATTCATGAGTAGCTGTGGTGGACGGAGGTGCTGTGGTGAAAGCAGCATAGCAAAGCACCCGAGGAAACAGCTCCTCTTGTGTTCAGTGCAGGGGGCCGTGGTCAGTAACGCCCAGCGTGTCCCGCTGACCCCAGTGGATACAAGAGAGAGGAAGGTGCCTGTGGAGAACAGAGCCTGTGAGCTTTGTGGCAGCTGAAGGGGGTGGGTCAAGGTAGCCAGGCAACCGATTTGTGATTCTGACGGCCCGATTCTGCACCTTCAGACTGCACTTTGGAGGCAGTTGGATGGAGGCGGCGTTCCCTGGGAGCGGGCAGCTGTGCCAGCCCGGCACCTCTGGGCGCTTGGTGAAATGCCTGATGGGGGAGGGCACGAGGTTCAGAGCATCCGTAAACTGGGGTACGCTGAGGCCTGGGCGTGTCATGCTGCCCGAGCCTGAGCCTGCATGTGCTGCAGCACGTACAGGAAAGGCCTTGTCCTGCAACTCCAGGGTCCCTAGGGAGGAGAAATCAGATTTCAACACCCTCATGTCAATAGGTGCTGCGGGGGGAGATAAATTGGGGGGGTCAGGCCTGAGCCATCTCAGCCAGTTGCTGTATTTGCCTTCTGCAGATAACCAGCTAGGCACTTGGGGGCAGAGGAGGGGGGCAAGGAAAGATGGGGAGGATTCCACCCCACACCCAGGCAGTAGAGGGGGTCAAAGCAAAGCCTGGCAGCAAAGCTGGGGTAAGTGCTCCGACTCCAGCCATGGTGGGGAGAGGGGCCTTTCCTGAGCCAGTAGCTTGCTTACTGAGCCCACTGCAGCCTTAGGGGCAGCCTGGGAGCCCCTCATTGCATGCCCCCTCCTGTCTGCACTGCAGCACACAGCACACATGGGGGTTTACTGCTGAGCCCTGAGGTGCTACCACCCTCCTGGCGTAGGGGCAGGGCTGGGCTCATGAGGGGAGCTGACGCAAGGATGGTGGAAGGGGCCAAGGGCTTTCCCCTTTCCTTGAACATTCCCTGTTCCAAGGCTGTTGTCGCGCACACAGTAACCAGTGACTCCCGTGACGAGTGAGTGGCTCCTCCCAATGCAACACTGCATCGCCTTGCTCTTCATGCCAAGTGCCAGACGAGTGGGCTGGCAGCTTGGGGGAGGGCAGCTGGTGAGCCCCAGCAAGTGGAAGCAGATTCCTCAGCGGCTCGCCTGCTGCTGGCTGGCTGGGTTGACTCTGTTCAGCAGCTGAGCTGGTGCTGGGATGGCTGCAGTAAAGGTGGGGGCAGAAGCACGTCCATGGTTGCTGCTCGTGCTCCCATCCTCAGCAATGGGGACCTGGGGCTGCTGGATTAGTCAAAGAGCACCGGTTTTGCTGCTGGGCCAGGTCCTCTGAGCTGCCTCACCCCCCTCCCAGCTCTGCTCCTACTGGCCAGTTCGGTCAGTACGTCGCATGGGCTCTGACAGACAGGGCTTCGCCCGATCCAGCTGAGCCTGGGGGAGCGGGACAGGGCAGGGAGCGGAACTGAAACAGCTGCTGGGGGAGTGGGTTATGTACTAATCTGTAGTGAGCTCAAGGCTGTGCCATTAGGCCAAGTCCCACACTGCACAAAACAGCCATGCACAACAAGGTGGGAAAGGAAGCAGACTAGTGGGAAATGTAGCAGCAAATCCTCCCTGGCAGGTGCCTCCCAGTGTGGTATTTCATAGAAGCATAGAATATCAGGGTCAGAAGGGACCTCAGGAGGTCATCTAGTCCAACCCCCCGCTCAAAGCAGGACCAATCCCCAACTAAATCATCCCAGCCAGAGCTTTGTCAAGCCTGACCTTAAAAACTTCTAGGGAAGGAGATTCCACCACCTCCCTAGGTAACGCATTCCAGTGTTTCACCACCCTCCTAGTGAAAAAGTTTTTCCTCAGATCCAACCTAAACCTCCCCCACTGCAACTTGAGACCATTACTCCTTGTTCTGTCATCTGGTACCACTGAGAACAGTCTAGAGCCATCCTCTTTGGAACCCCCTTTCAGGTAGTTGAAAGCAGCTATCAAATCCCCCCTCATTCTTCTCTTCTGAAGACTAAAACACCCCCAGTTCCCTCATCCTCTCCTCATTAGTCATGTGTTTCAGTCCCCTAATCATTTTTGTTGCCCTTCGCTGGACGTTTTCCAATTTTTCCACATCCTTCTTGTAATGTGGGACCCAAAACTGGACACAGTACTCCAGATGAGGCCTCACTAATGTCAAATAGAGGGGAACGATCATGTCCCTCAATCTGCTGGCAATGCCCCTACTTATACATCCCAAAATGGCATTGGCCTTCTTGGCAACAAGGGCACACTGTTGACTCATATCCAACTTCTCGTCCACTGTAACCCCTAGGTCCTTTTCTGCAGAACTGCTTCCTAGCCATTCGGTCCCTAGTCTGTAGCGGTGCATTGGATTCTTCCGTCCTAAGTGCAGGATTCTGCAATTGTCCTTGTCGAACCTCATCAGATTTCTTTTGGCCCAATCCTCCAATTTGTCTAGGGCCCTCTGTATCCTATCCCTACCCTCCAGCGTATCTACCACTCCTCCCAGTTTAGTGTCATCCGCAAACTTGCTGAGGGTGCAATCCACACCATCCTCCAGATCATTTATGAAGATATTGAACAAAACTGGCCCCAGGACCGACCCTTGGGGCACTCCACTTGATACCGGCTGCCAACTAGACATGGAGCCATTGATCACTACCCATTGAGCCCGACAATCTAGCCAACTTTCTTTCCACCTTATAGTCCATTCATCCAACCCATACTTCTTTAACTTGCTGGCAAGAATACTGTGGGAGACCGTGTCAAAAGCTTTGCTAAAGTCAAGGAACAACACGTCCACTGCTTTCCCCTCATCCACAGAGCCAGTTATCTCGTCATAGTAGGCAATTAGATTAGTCAGGCATGACTTGCCCTTGGTGAATCCATGCTGACTGTTCCTGATCACTTTCCTCTCCTCTAAGTGCTTCAGAATTGATTCCTTGAGAACCTGCTCCATGATTTGTCCAGGGACTGAGGTGAGGCTGACTGGCCTGTAGTTCCCAGGATCCTCCTCCTTCCCTTTTTTAAAGATTGGCACTATATTAGCCTTTTTCCTGTCGTCGGGGACCTCCCCCGATCACCATGATTATCTTTTCAAAGATAATGGCCAGTGGCTCTGCAATCACATCCGCCAACTCCTTTAGCACTCTCGGATGCAACGCATCCGGCCCCATGGACTTGTGCTCGTCCAGCTTTTCTAAATAGTCCCGAACCACTTCTTTCTCCACAGAGGGCTGGTCACCTCCTCCCCATGCTGTGCTGCCCAGCGCAGCAGTCTGGGAGCTGACCTTGTTCGTGAAGACAGAGGCAAAAAAAGCATTGAGTACATTAGCTTTTTTCACATCCTCTGTCACTAGGTTGCCTCCCTCATTCAGTAAGGGGCCCACACTTTCCTTGGCTTTCTTCTTGTTGCTAACATACCTGAAGAAACCCTTCTTGTTACTCTTAACATCTCTTGCTAGCTGCAACTCCATGTTTCTCTGCCCTGAGTTGATTGACTGCCTGTTTGCTCCCACCCTCACCATCCCTCACACCCGCTTCACCTCAGCATCACTCCCCTTACCCTTTCCTGCCCCCTGCAACCTCTCACCCTTTTCGCCTCAGGGCCCTCTCCCTTCCCTTTAGGTTATTCCCTCCTAACCACCACCACCTCCCCAAAAAAACATGGCACTGCCATGCTGTTTGCCACTGTCCCACGGTCCCTGCTGGGGTGTGCTCTGCTCTCCCTGCCCTGCCCAGGGTCTGTGTGTGCTGCTTTGAGTGTCAGCGCTTTGGGGCAGGGACTTTTTGTCCTGTCCTTGCATGGTGCCTAGCACCCTGGGTGCCTGGCCCATGGCGAAGACTCACAGGAGCAATGGTAGGACACACAATAAATAATAACAATAAGCCACCTCAGCCAGGCATTGTCTGTTCCAGGCTAGCTGTGGGGCCTACCAACAGTGAAGGGGGCTGTGGGAACACACACACACCCAGCTCCCAGACCTGTCTGACAATGGCGGGGGGCGCTACCCCATCCAGCTCAGTCTCCCCCTCCCCGCTTTGCTGGTTGTGTTTGTTTGGCCGGCACTTTCCTCTCAAGCTCTGCTCCTGCCCCCAAGGAGTCACAGCTGTGAGGGTGCAGACTAGTGCGGATACACCACGGCCCCTGCTAAGGAGGGGAGAGGAAGCTGAACATACCAGCGCCTGCTGTTAACAGCTCATCACAGCCAGGGTATAGCCTGGCCAAGCCAGTGACCAGCTGGTCCCGTTTCCAGCCTTTCACCCCGTGCAAACAGCGCCCTGTGGTGTGCGACTCCCCAGCCCTGGCCTGTTATTCCGGCTTGGGCTACACTTAGAAGTTATGTCAATCAGAACAGTCAGAACTGTTACGCTCTGAGTCCTGAGATTAGACGGATCTAGCCCGGGGTGGATGCAGTGTGGTCACCAAAAGAATTCTTCCACCTTAAACGTAGCTACCGCCTGGGGAGGAAGTGGCTCTGTCACTGCCCTGGAAAATCCCCTTCCCTCGCTGTACGAAGGGTTCACACTAGAGTGGCACAGCTGCAGCGCGGCCGCTGTAGCCACAGCCTCAGGCCTTGTCTACACTAGACAATTAAGTTGGCCTAAATATGTCCCTCAGGGGTGTGAAAAATCTAGACCCCTGAGTAAAGCCCCTAAGTCAACCTAACCCGTGGGGTAGCCAGTGGTAGGTCAACAGACGAATTCTCCCGTTGCCCTAGCAACCCCCTGTCGGGGAGGGGGATCGCCTATGCTGATGGGAAAAGCCCTTGGTCGGGGAAGGTGATGGCTAAACTGAAACGCTCCTGATGGGCTCAGAAATCACCTTGGTGCCTCCAGGCAGGTCTCGCCATTGCAGGGCACCGCTGGCTCCCCAGGGCTGTGGCCAGCACAGTTGGGTCACAGCGAGGAGCTGAGGCAGCCACGCCGTTCCTGCTCCCGCTGCGTGTGTTGGCTTTGGCTCGCCTCAGGGACTTCGCGCTCTCTGCAGTGGCAAAGCAACAGCCCAGGATCCGGCTCAGGGCAGGATCCGAGGACCCAGACAGCCAGCAGGACAGCCAGGACTCTCTTACAGGCTGATTTCATCCCTGGGGGCAACTTTCCTCAGCACCCAACTCCTCTGGGGTGGGAGCCAAGGCCAGTCCAGCTCCTGCCACCCTGGGGACGGGCCCTCAGTAACAGCCTGCGCCAGCGAGCTCAGCTGGAGCCCTGCTACTTCCCAAGGCAGCAGGTCCCACCCCAGCCCAGGCCTCATGGCGCCGGCTCCGGCTGACGTCCCGCTGGACGTGTGTGCCAGGGAATGTGGGATTTGCTACGAGGCCTACAAAGCCGCTTCCCAGGGGCGGGTGCCCAAGCTGCTGCTGTGCCAGCACTCGCTGTGCCTCGCCTGCCTCAGGAAGCTGGTCTGCCAGGCCCGGGCCATCTCCTCTGTGGTCTGCCCCTTCTGCAGGACTGTGACCCTGGTGCCCGAGCAGGGGCTGCAGGCCCTGCAGAACGACGAGGACATTCTGCGGGAAGCGTCGGCCCTGGGCAGCCCCAGGGTCCTGGCGGGGGCCAGCTCGGCCCCAGGGGAGGAGGAGAGGGAGGACGAGGCAGCCCCCAGCGCCTCGGAGTACTCCACAAGCGACTCCTCTCTCTCCCTGGACGTGGAGTTTAACTACGTGACCCATTCGTCCATCTTCACCATAAGCAGCGTGGTCTCCCCGTATGGCTTGGCGGGGCCGGGCAGCCCCAGGGCCTGGAGCGGTCTCCGTGTGCAGGAGGTGCAGAACACCTTCTTGGTGGGGCTCCCAGGCCCAGCGGCACCCGCGGATGCTCAACCACCCATCTCCTCAGTGGAGAATCTGCGCCTGTGCTTCGCCATGGGCATCCTCATCCTCGTCATCTCCGTCTTCTTCCTGCTGGTCTTCCTGAAGTAGGCCAGGACCTGGGGGTGCAGCCGGAGGGGCGGCCGGAACCAGCTCAGGACAGAACTGACCCAGTAGCCACGGGGACCCAGGGTCAGGCTGCTGATGGAGTAGTGGGGAGAGGCCTTTTCAGATGGATCAGCTGAGCTCTGACCTGGGACCCCTGCAGGAGCCCAAGCGCGGCAGCCTCCACCCAGAGCCTTGCTGAGCCACGTGCATGGTGTCCTTAGTGGTGGGGATGCAGGGTGGGCTGAGCGTGGGTGCCAGGGAAATCCCCCACAGCCACCTCGTGGCAGCATGAGAGTTGGGGGTGACCACTGGGCCCCAGGCTTGGTCCCAGCACTGAGTGTTGTGGGGTGGTACTTAGCGGCTCTGGGCAGGAGGCAGCCGCTGCGTGGCTGAATTGGCTGCAGCTTTGTCTATGGGTCAGTGACTCAGCGTGGAGTGGGCACCAGAATAGCTGGGGTAGGCGTTGCGTGGGTGTGGCTCCACGCTGGGTACGGGCGTTATGAATGCGCAGCACTGTGGACAGTTCTGCCAAAGTTAGCCCAGCTGGCCTCCAGGAACCAGAGGCACTCAGAATTACAGGCCCATTTTGGATACTGCCTCATGTAACAGGCAGGGATTGAACTGCTCCCTGCTCTAGCTTGACTGAGTTACTGGCTAGAGCTCACAGCAGCAGCAGCCGCTGACCCTCAGCGTCCTTAAGTGCCAAGGCTTCTAGGCCCAGAGCCTGAAAGGGACTGGGGGCTGCTGCCCATTGTCCATTGACGTCCGTGGGCGTTAGGAGCTGAAATAGCTTTGAGGGTCTGGGCCTTACTGCCTGTGCACGCTCGGGTGGGTGCGCTTGTGGGGTGAGAACCTCCCTCCCCCTCCACCTGGAGTTGCTTCCCTTTGAGCAGTCTCAGCACTGCCAGTCAATAATGGTCAGGGGTCAGGCTCCGCACACAGAAGCCTGAACACTGATATTTTGGGTTCTTTGGCTTTGCTGCTGGTTTCTGAGGCTTTAGCTCATGGTTTTAGGCTTTTTGGCACAACCATGAGGGCCAGAAGTGACTTTTTTGTTGTGTTTTCTTTTTGTTAATGCAAGTTGAGCTTCTCTCCTAATCACATGACTCCAGGTGCAGGGGCTTCATGAAACATCTCGCACTGTGCAAGGGTTGTAACACTGCCATGTTGAGTGATGACTCCCCAGGCTGTAGCTCCACACTCAGCTGCCAGTTTTTAAATGTGGCAGCCAGACCTGGGAGGCAAGAGTCATCGGTCTGTTCTCAGCTCTCCCACAGACTCACTGAGTGCCCATGGACGAGTAACTCCCCTCTCAGTGCCTCAATTTCCCCTTCTGTAAATCAGGGATAATGACATGGGCCTATCTCTCTAGGGGAACTAGAATAGGGGGCAGTGTCATGGTACTGGTGCTGTGGACCAGCCCTGGGATGAATCCTTGCATGGCTGGCCGCCCTGCCCTCACAGAGCCAGCAGCCCGTGGAGCCCACATGGTGCACTTAGGGCAGGGCAGGGCAGCGATAATTAGGGCCATAAAGCCCAACAGTCCCAGGTTGCAGCAAATGGCCACTGCCTTGACAGCACAAGCCTACCTGCTGCCATTGGCACCCCACAGTGGGCCACTGGTCTCAGTGGCTACTGAAGCAGGTCTCTCAGGAAGGGAGCCAGGCCTGTTGCTAGAGTTCCCCCACCTGGCCGAGGTTCCTAGCCCTCGTGGGGACTGGGTGCTGCCTTCTCCATCCTGCACCATCCCGATGCTGGGCATGGCAGGATCCCAAGGGTGGGGGAAGGAAGGACCCTCGGTAGGGGGGAGGGTGAGTGGTGTGGGCAGCACAGGGAGTTGTGGGGACCAGGAGATGAGAGAATGAGGCTGGTAGGAGAGAGCGTGAGGGGGGCAGAATAGCCCAGCTGAAGCTCTGGCCAAGCTCCCAGCAAGGGAGGGAGGAGCTGGGGTGACCAGAAGGGTGCAGGGCATTTAGGGAACCCCTTGAAAGGGAGCAGGACTCTGGGAAAGCTCCTGTTTGGCTGGACAGGAGCAGGAAGCTGCAGAGGGGGCGGGGCAGAGCAGCTCCCATGGGCAGGAGCTGTGCGGGGAGATGGCGGGGGGGCTATTCTGCTGCACCCTAAGGGTATATCCACACGGCAGAATTTTATCTGGAGTTAACTGATGGGGCATTAACTGCAGCTAATTAATGATTGTAAAGCTGGTGTGGACTCTCCCCAAATGTCATCCAGGGTACAGAGTCCTGCCCACCCTTACAAACATGTTAATTACCTGGAGTGAATGGGCAATCAGTTAACTCCAGGGAACTCTCTCATGTAGAAACAATGAGGAGTCCTTGTGGCACCTTAGGGTATATCTACACTACGGAATAAGGTCGAATTTATAGAAGTCGGTTTTTTAGAAATCGGTTTTATAAATTCGAGTGTGTGTGACCCCACAGAAAATGCTCTAAGTGCATTAAGTGCATTAACTCGGCGGAGCGCTTCCACAGTACCGAGGCAAGCGTCGACTTCCGGAGCGTTGCACTGTGGGTAGCTATCCCACAGTTCCCGCAGTCTCCGCTGCCCATTGGAATTCTGGGTTGAGATCCCAATGCCTGATGGGCTAAAACATTGTCGCGGGTGGTTCTGGGTACATATCGTCAGGCCCCCCGTTCCCTCCCTCCCTCCGTGAAAGCAAGGGCAGACAATCGTTTCGCGCCTTTTTTCCTGAGTTACCTGTGCAGACGCCATACCACGGCAAGCATGGAGCCTGCTCAGGTAACCGTCACCCTATGTCTCCTGGGTGCTGGCAGACGCGGTACAGCATTGCTACACAGTAGCAGCAACCCCTTGCCTTGTGGCAGCAGACGGTACAGTACGACTGGTAGCCGTCATCGTCATGTCTGAGGTGCTCCTGGTCGCCTCTGTGAGGTCGATCAGGAGCGCCTGGGCAGACATGGGCACAGGGACTAAATTTGGAGTGACTTGACCAGGTCATTCTCTTTAGTCCTGCAGTCAGTCCTATTGAACCGTCTTATGGTGAGCAGGCAGGCGATACGGACTGCTAGCAGTCGTACTGTACCATCTTCTGCCGAGCAGCCATGAGATGTGGATGGCATGCAGTCCTTCTGCACCGTCTGCTGCCAGCCAAAGATGTAAAAGATAGATGGAGTGGATCAAAACAAGAAATAGACCAGATTTGTTTTGTACTCATTTGCTTCCCCCCCTCCCCTGTCTAGGGGACTCATTCTTCTAGATCACACTGCAGTCACTTACAGAGAAGGTGCAGCGAGGTAAATCTAGCCATGTATCAATCAGAGGCCAGGCTAACCTTCTTGCTCCAATAAGGACAATAACTTAGGTGCACCATTTCTTATTGGAACTCTCCGTGAAGTCCTGCCTGAAATACTCCTTGATGTAAAGCCACCCCCTCTGTTGATTTTAGCTCCCTGAAGCCAACCCTGTAAGCGCCCCTCCCAGCGTCAGAGCAATGGCAAACAATCGGGCATCTGAGAGTGCTGTCCAGAGCAGTCACAATGGAGCACTCTGATGGGGCTAAAACATTGTCGCGGGTGGTTCTGGGTACGTGTCGTCAGGCCCCCGTTCCCTCCCTCCCTCCGTGAAAGCAAGGGCAGACAATCATTTCGTGCCTTTTTTCCTGAGTTACCTGTGCAGACGCCATACCACAGCAAGCATGGAGCCCGCTCAGGTAACCGTCACCCTATGTCTCCTGGGTGCTGGCAGACGCGGTACGGCTTTGCTGCACAGTAGCAGCAACCCATTGCCTTCTGGCAGCAGACGGTGCAATACGATTGGTAGTCGTCCTCATCGTGTCCGAGGTGCTCCTGGCCGCGTCGGCTGGGAGTGCCTGGGCAGACATGGGCGCAGGGACTAAATTTGGAGTGACTTGACCAGGTCATTCTCTTTAGTCCTGCAGTCAGTCCTATTGAACTGTCTTATGGTGAGCGGGCAGGCGATACGGACTGCTAGCAGTCGCACTGTACCATCTTCTGCCAGGCAGGCAAGAGATGAGGATTGCTAGCAGTCGTATTGCACCATCTTCTGCCAGGCAGGCAAGAGATGGGGATGGCTAGCAGTCGTACTGTACCATCTTCTGCCGAGCAGCCATGAGATGTGGATGGCATGCAGTCCTTCTGCACTGTCTGCTGCCAGCCAAAGATGTAAAAGATAGATGGAGTGGGTCAAAACAAGAAATAGACCAGATTTGTTTTGTACTCATTTGCCTCCTCCCCTGTCTAGGGGACTCATTCCTCTAGGTCACACTGCAGTCACTCACAGAGAAGGTGCAGCGAGGTAAATCTAGCCATGTATCAATCAGAGGCCAGGCTAACCTCCTTGTTCCAATAACAACGATTACTTAGGTGCACCATTTCTTATTGGAACCCTCCGTGCAGTCCTGCCTGAAATACTCCTTGATGTACAGGCACCCCCTTTGTTGATTTTAGCTCCCTGAAGCCAACCCTGTAAGCCGTGTCGTCAGTCGCCCCTCCCTCCGTCAGAGCAACGGCAGACAATCGTTCCGCGCCTTTTTTCTGTGCGGACGCCATACCACGGCAAGCATGGAGCCCGCTCAGCTCACTTTGGCAATTAGGAGCACATTAACCACCACATGCATTATTCAGCAGTATATGCAGCACCAGAACATGGCAACGCGATACCGGGCGAGGAGGCGACGTCAGCGCGGTCCCGTGAGTGATCAGGACATGGACACAGATTTCTCTGAAAGCATGGGCCCTGACAATGCATGCATCATGGTGCTAATGGGGCAGGTTCATGCTGTGGAACGCCGATTCTGGGCTCGGGAAACAAGCACAGACTGGTGGGACCGCATAGTGTTGCAGGTCTGGGACGATTCCCAGTGGCTACGAAACTTTCGCATGCGTAAGGGCACTTTCATGGAACTTTGTGACTTGCTTTCCCCTGCCCTGAAGCGCATGAATACCAAGATGAGAGCAGCCCTCACAGTTGAGAAGCGAGTGGCGATAGCCCTGTGGAAGCTTGCAACGCCAGACAGCTACCGGTCAGTTGGGAATCAATTTGGAGTGGGCAAATCTACTGTGGGGGCTGCTGTGATGCAAGTAGCCCACGCAATCAAAGATCTGCTGATATCAAGGGTAGTGACCCTGGGAAATGTGCAGGTCATAGTGGATGGCTTTGCTGCAATGGGATTCCCTAACTGTGGTGGGGCTATAGACGGAACCCATATCCCTATCTTGGCACCGGAGCACCAAGCCGCCGAGTACATAAACCGCAAGGGGTACTTTTCGATAGTGCTGCAAGCTCTGGTGGATCACAAGGGACGTTTCACCAACATCAACGTGGGATGGCCGGGAAAGGTGCATGATGCTCGCATCTTCAGGAACTCTGGTCTGTTTCAAAAGCTGCAGGAAGGGACTTTATTCCCAGACCAGAAAATAACTGTTGGGGATGTTGAAATGCCTATATGTATCCTTGGGGACCCAGCCTACCCCTTAATGCCATGGCTCATGAAGCCGTACACAGGCAGCCTGGACAGTGGTCAGGAGCTGTTCAACTACAGGCTGAGCAAGTGCAGAATGGTGGTAGAATGTGCATTTGGATGTTTAAAGGCGCGCTGGCGCAGTTTACTGACTCGCTTAGACCTCAGCGAAACCAATATTCCCACTGTTATTACTGCTTGCTGTGTGCTGCACAATATCTGTGAGAGTAAGGGGGAGACGTTTATGGCGGGGTGGGAGGTTGAGGCAAATCGCCTGGCTGCTGGTTACGCGCAGCCAGACACCAGGGCGGTTAGAAGAGCACAGGAGGGCGCGGTACGCATCAGAGAAGCTTTGAAAAACAGTTTCATGACTGGCCAGGCTACGGTGTGAAAGTTCTGTTTGTTTCTCCTTGATGAACCTTCCCCGCCCCTTGGTTCACTCTACTTCCCTGTAAGCTAACCACCCTCCCCTCCTCCCTTCGATCACCGCTTGCAGAGCCAATAAAGTCATTGTTGCTTCACATTCATGCATTCGTTATTCATTCATCACACAAATAGGGGGATGACTACCAAGGTATCCCAGGAGGGGTGGTGGAGGAGGGAAGGAAAATGCCACACAGCACTTTAAGCACAGCACTTTAAAAGTTTACAACTTTAAAATTTATTGAATGACAGCCTTCTTTTTTTTGGGCAATCCTCTGTGGTGGAGTGGCTGGTTGGCTGGAGGCCCCCCCACCGCGTTCTTGGGCGTCTGGGTGTGGAGGCTATGGAACTTGGGGAGGAGGGCGGTTGGTTACAGAGGGGCTGCAGTGGCAGTCTGTGCTCCAGCTGCCTTTGCTGCAGCTCAACCATACACTGGAGCATACTGGTTTGGTCCTGCAGCAGCCTCAGCATTGAATCCTGCCTCCTCTCATCACGCTGCCGCCACATTTGAGCTTCAGCCCTGTCTTCAGTCCGCCACTTACTCTCTTCAGCCCGCCACCTCTCCTCCCGGTCATTTTGTGCTTTCCTGCACTCTGACATTATTTGCCTCCACACATTCGTCTGTGCTCTGTCAGTGTGGGAGGACAGCATGAGCTCGGAGAACATTTCATCGCGAGTGCGTTTTTTTTTCTTTCTAAGCTTCACTAGCCTCTGGGAAGGAGAAGATCCTGTGATCATTGAAACACATGCAGCTGGTGGAGAAAAAAAAAAGGGACAGCGGTATTTAAAAAGACACATTTTATAAAACAGTGGCTACACTCTTTCAGGGTAAACCTTGCTGTTAACATTACATACATAGCACATGTGCTTTCTTTACAAGGTCGCATTTTGCCTCCTCCCACCGCGTGAACGGATTTTGGTTGAATGCCAGCAAACATACACTGCAATGCTTTGTTCTACAGTGATTCCCGAGTACGTGTTACTGGCCTGGAGTGGTAAAGTGTCCTACCATGAAGGACGAAATAAGGCTGCCCTCCCCAGAAACCTTTTGCAAAGGCAGAACCGCAAATGCCAGGGCAAAGTAATCCTTTCACATGCTTGCTTTTAAACCATGTATAGCATTTTAAAAGGTACACTCACCAGAGGTCCCTTCTCC